TCCATTCATGTCTGTCATCCTTGGTTTCTGCATCATTCCCAAGTTCTTTCCATAGCACTGCTGTGATTGTTTTTTTTTTCTTTGTGTGTGTGTGTGTGAACGTAAATTTGGAATGACAATTACACACTTTGTCACTTACCTTTCCAGAAGGATGATGAACTCCACAAACATTGGTTAAAAATTGAAATCTTGTGTTCGTATGATTAAAAAGAAAAAGGACATAAAAATATTAAAAACTCTTTTTTTTTTTTTTAACCAATCTATATTCTTCTCTCAATCTTCTTTGTATATATTTTCCTCATCTATCTCATCCCCTCTCGCTACTCTATGTAAAGTACGCGGGGAACACCACCAACCAAACCTGGAACCATATACACAAATTTCCTCAGACCCCACATGGGAACGAAAACGAGCAAGCGGCCTCGCTCAGTTGCCCAGGCATGCAATTAGCATTCATGAGGTCGGGGGTACAATCCCCACTGACCCCCTGCGGCACTCTTGGTGCCAACCAACTGAGATAATTGGCTTGCTCCCCCCGTTCCGTATTGGTAGGGTCTTGGCCATCACGAATGTTGCGTGTGTGTGAGGAGAGGGGGGGGGGGGATTGTCTGTGGTGTGTGGGAGAGTGCTGGTCAGAGACCCTGCTATTGCTCGATGGGGCCGGGGGAAGTAGATGGGACGTGCGGCTACTGGCAAAATGCTCGGTCTTTTCATTTACCGCGCCCCCCCAGCGGCGGCCCCACACTGCTCCCTGAACACCGCCGATTAGGATGGGGGGCAACACGCATTCCCCTTAATTGTGAGAGGTAGGGGGGGGGTCCCCTGCATAGGCTTAGGAGTAGTGGTAGGTAGGAAAAAACAGGAGAAAACAGAAAAGAAAAAAAGAGCAAAACAAAAAAAAGCATTCCTTGTCGCCAATCAACTCAGCTTGAGCGACAGTGTGCCGCACGAGCAACACGGATCAGAAGAGACAAGAGAGGACAAGGCCCCAGGTCCAAAGAGAGAGAGAGAGAGGATAAGGCACTGCCTGCTTCGGACTCTCTGGCCATGATGTAAATGCGGCTCATGCTTGCAGGTGATAAGCAACCGAACTGCTGCCCCCCAGAATAGATGGGGCAAGTTTGAGGGAGGGAAAAAATGAGAAAAAAAAAAAAACAAAAAAAAACTTGTTGGCAGCATAGCCAGTCAAGTAGAAAACACAAGAAACGAGTCGAAATCGACACAAAAAGCGTCGAACGACACGTGTACATATACACAGAAAAGCACAGCCAACAGCTGATTTCACAAAGTCAGAGCAGGGTAGAACCAAGACAAAAGTCCGGGGGTGGGGAAGGGGGGGTGGGGGGCGCAGTTTGATAGTTCTTAGGAAATCTCCACCATGTGTTCAAGGACTGCAAATGTGTGATAGGATATGGACATGGGTTGCGGGCGGAACTAATTGGCCTTCTTGCCATTATCATCCGACACATGAGTAAGAGCTCGAAAAAGCGAAGAAAGTTGGCCTTCTCACCATCATGATCACACACGGAACCTCGAAAAGAGAAGAAAGACAATGCTTGCTGCATACTAAAAGATAGATGGATCGCCGTCTTCCCTCATACAGCAACGTCGAAAAGATAATTCAGCCCTATCCAGAGGGCACATGGGACTGAAAAATCATGGCGGTTTAAAAAAAATAATAAAAAAAATCATGACTGTCACAGGTGTGCTCTCACACTTCTGTTATGAGCGAGTGTGTGATCAACGCCACACTGCTGATTGACCTATCAGCCATCGACCATCTGCCCTTCAAGTAGGTTAAAAAAATGGCGAAAGACGGGCAAAATATTGGCAAGCAATTGGGAAACTTCGGGAAATGTTTGACACAAAAATTGGCAAAAACTTAACCATCCACCAAACCATTAACTATTGTTGGGAAGTGCAACTTGTCTGCATTAGCAATCTATAGTGCATTAGCAATCGATAGTAGCTGACTGCTTGAAGACCACCAAAGCAATTGATTGATATATTAATGGCCATTGATTCAAAGTTGGTAATCAACCATCAACCATCAACCAGCAACTGGCGCTTATCTGCTAATATGTAAATGGATTTCCATCTGTCGACTATTTGTCAGCTTACCTTACATTACAGGGTGATCTCATAACATTGTGATCCACCGAGAGGCAACAACAGACTTTATCCTTCAGCACAACAAACTGGGATAACGAGAATGGATGGGATGGGATGGGATGTGATGTAATGTGATGTCGTGTCTGCTAAAACGAAGTTGCGGGGCGCGGGGGGAAGGAATAGTCATTTAACTGGTGGATGCCCACGACTGGTGCACCCATTATAGACCTTTCCACTCAGGATTAGCACAGAAGAAAGGTAACGAAGTTTCTAGTGAACTTTCTTTAGTCTTCTCTATAGTCTTCTCTATAGTCTCGCTCTCACTTTCCTTGGCAAATTTCTATTTGCGGGCCTTTCCTGTGGCTCGTTCCCAGGCCTGAAGTATATGTTCCGCAACCTCCTTCACACCCACCCCATGCTTAACCTGCGCAAAGACGAATGGTCCCCCGTCTCTCATCCGAAGCGCATCTCTCTCCATCAGCTTCAAGTCGGCTCCGACAGCTCCTGCGAGATCCGTCTTGTTGATGACCAGCAGGTCCGCTTGCGTGATGCCGGGACCACCTTTGCGTGGAATCTTGTCGCCTGCCGCCACGTCGATTATGTAGATTATGTAGTCCGCGAGCTCCCGGCTGAAGTTTGCTGCGAGATTGTCGCCACCCGATTCGCACAAAAGAAGCTCCGCGCGGAACTGGCTGGTCAGATCCTCCAGAGGCCCAAGGTTGATGCTGATATCCTCGCGAATGGCAGCATGGGGGCATCCCCCAGTCTCGATGGCCTTAATCCGCTCCGCGGGAAGAGCCTGATGGCGAACGAGGAATTCACCATCCTCTCGAGTGAAGATGTCATTTGTAACCGCAGCGATGCTGTACTTTTCACGGAACTCCTTGCAAAGCTCCAGCATCAGTGCCGTCTTCCCAGTTCCTACAGGCCCGCCGATTCCCACCGTAAATGCACGGTCCTGGAAATCCCTCCCCGACAGCGGAGGGGCTCGTGCAGAGAACATACCCGGCGACTCTATCGGCTCGTGAGTATGCGGAGCCAATCCATCGTGGGAGTGATATATTTTACCATCAGCACCCGTCCACTCATTCGCATGAGTATGTGGAACCAGCCCATCATGGGAGTGACTATGAGGAGCCAATCCATCATGGGTATGGGAGTGAGAGTGGGACTGGGACTGGGAGTGGGAGTGGGAGTGCACTTTCCCGTCTGGGCCTGGAACGACCTCTACCATCCCTTGAGAGGTAGTCTCCATCTCCATTTCACCAACACCAAAGAGAAGACGGAACTGTTCCATGCACAGACCGCTGCACAATCCCGAAAAAAAAAAGTATCTTGGTCCACCTCAGACGACGACTCCCAATATCGACGACCAGAAATACGCCAATCTTCCCGCTCGAAGGATAACTAAAGCTCAACACAAAAAGGGGAAAAGAAAAACGCCCAACACAGAGATGTGGGCGGCACCCAGCACAATTTTAGAAACATGGAAATTTGGAAAAAGAAAGAGAACAGAAAAAGAAGCCAAAAGCAAAGTGAAAAAAGTTGCCCCATGAGCGCGTGACTAGATAAAAAACAAAAAAAAAGGAAGACAAAAGAAAAGGTGAGAAGAGAAAAGAGACGTGACGAGAAGAAGAGAGGCGAGAAGAGAGGAGAAGACACAAGAAGAGAAGAGACAAGAGAAGAGAAGAGAAGAAGAGAAGAGAAGAGAAGAAGAGAAGAGAAGAGACAAGAGAAGAGAAGGGAAGAGAAGAGAAGAAGAGGAGAAGTGAAGAAGTCAAGAGGAGAAGAGAAGAGGAGACGAGAATCGAAGAAACGAGAGCAGAAGAGACCAGAAGAGAAGAGAGGAGAACAGAAGACAAGAAGAGAAGAGACAAATGCATAAGAGACCAGAAGAGCAGAGAGGAGAACAGAGGAGAAGAGAAGACGAGAAGAGAAGACAAGAAGAGAAGAGAGGAGAGAAGAAGAGACCAGAAGAGAACAGAGGAGAACAGAGGAGAACAGAGGAGAACAGAGGAGAAGAGAAAGGAGAGAGGAGAGGAGAAGAGACAAGAAGATAAGAAACGAGAAGAGACGAGACAACAAAAAAAA